CGGACGGCCGCTGCTTCTTGGCACCTCTCCCTCCCCCTTTGGCCAAGGAGGGCGTGTAACTCCCCAAGTTTATAATAGCTGAATGAAACCCCATTCCCCGCCGCACACGTTTTTAGCGGGGAGAGACACTAGTGTAGCCGCGGGGACAGCTGCGCACTCGCGTGGCATCCGACGGGCAGCGCGGCGCACCCTCCGCGTCCCGGCCGCCCAGGGCGAGTCTTTGTGCCTGGCTGGGGGTGGGGGGATCGGGGAGCGGCTTCGTGGCCTGGCCCACCTGGAACAAAAGGGTTAAAACCCTCGGCCCGCCCGCTTCCTCCGGAGAGGAGGGGCGAGCCCCGGGCCCTGACCCCTCCCCTGGTGCCGCTCTGACCTCCCCTTCCCCCTCATTTTGGGTGGCACGCACCAGTGGGGCTTGGGGTGGTTGTTGGCACCTCTGGGGAGCGCCTGTTAGGCGAGAGCCGCCGAGACTGACGCAGGCTGGAGGTGGCGTTCACCTAAGCTGGGGCAGGGCTCGAGCCCGGCAGTGCGCTCCCGCAGCAGTTTGGGGAGAGGGGTGCGTGCGCTATTGATCACCCGGGTCGGTGCGGACCGGCCGGCCGGCTGCGCGCGGGCGCCCCCTGGAGGCCGCGCTGGAGCCGAGCCCGCGCCAGGGAGGCGGGTCCGGGCGCAGACTGACTCACACCTGGTGAGTGGGGTGGCCTGGGGGCGCGAAGGGGAGAGCGCCGGGCTCGGCCGGGGATGCGCGCCCCTGGGGACTTCTGCCACTTACCCGCTGGAACGCCGTCTGCCTCGGCTATTCCTTGCCAAGTGTTTGGAATTCTTTCCAAGAATTCCTCGATCCTAGCTAGCGTGTTTCCAGAATCCTCGGCTGCTGTGTTGGGACGGAAGGTAGTTTCCCCAAGCACTGCTTTTAAATGGCTGCGTATTGGATGTTTGCGTTTGATCAGCCCCGATATAGACGATAGGGATCATTTTTAAAATGAAGACTGGACCGGACTTATTTTACCACGCCATTTGAGAGAACGTGGTTTTTGAGAAAAGAAAATGAAGTCCAGGCAGTAATTAGCAGATCAAAAAATCTGCAGGTGGTCAGGGAGGAGCTAACACTACTTAAAAGAAAATTAGCATTTTCTCAAAAGGGTTTCAAATGCCCTTTGTGCTAAACTGGATTACAACCATCAACCATTAAGATTCCCAAGTTTCAAATAACTTCCTAGCCCCGGTTTCTTGCCTTAAAATGACCTACACTGGCCTTCGGTAACGTTTCAGGTCAACTCCTGAGTTCTCGAAAAGGAGGACTGGCTGTGGTGTTGCCCGCAGCCGCTTTTCCATTCATTAAAGATAAGTTGCATTGTAAAATACATTCCCTGCCCGAAAGAACTGTAGCCCACCCTCCCGGTTCAGGAGTAAGTGATACTTTCTTTCGTTGGCGGTCAGCGAGCTTCCTCTTAGGTAGCAGGCTGGGGAACCATTTTGGGCGGCTGGACATGGTGAGCATTTCTTCTGTTTAAACGCGAGGTGCAGGGTGGGGTTTCTTTGGGGGTGTGTGTGTGTATGTGTGTGTGTGACTTTCGAATGGACTGCGTTCTGCTCTGGATTACGTTTGAATTTTAACATTTGGAGATACCTTGTGTCCTGTCCCCCGCCCACCCCCCCGCCCCCCAGCGTTTGGGTTCTTTCCAGAGTAGGAATAAAATACAGTAGACGATTTCAAGTATAGAAGGCCTGCTATACGTTGGGAATGGGATCGGTAGTTCATTTTGTTCAAAGTTAGCAGTGCTCTGGGTGTTGCTGCAGCATCAGAGATGGTATTGAGCTGCTAATTGAAATAATTCTGTAGAAACAATAGCCTACTGTGTGCTAGACCCCAGGCGGGGGCCTTCAGTATGTTATCTGTAATTTTCACCAAGTAACTCGCATTTTTACCCATCTGAGAGTAAACGGCAGCCCCCCGGTGGCGGCCTTGCCCCTGGTGCCCTGTCCTGTTGAACGTTAGCCTCCTCCTGAATTCGAGCAGCTCTGTTATGTCTTGGAGCAGTTAAAGGTAGAATGGGCTTTTTTCTTTGTTTTCCAAATTCGAAGGCCACTTTGGGTAAGCTGGTTGGGTTTGGTGATCTTTCTCGATTTTTTTACTTGAGTTTGAGTTCCCACATCAACTCACTTCATGTAGGAAGCAAGCTCACTTGGGAAGTGCGTTGGAAATAAAACAGTTTGCCTTTGGTTGGTTTCTCTGGACCATAATCGCCCGGAAAAAAGATTGAAAAAGGAATTTTAAGAAGTTTCCTTTTTAATCACTTTTAACCTGTCCTGCTTCTGAGCACTTCCAAAAACATCTAAACTTGTTTAAAAGCCTCTAGATCCAAACAAGGACGGCATCCCCAGCCCCTGCCTCCACCACCCCCAATCTGGATCAGGCTTTGTTCTCCAAGCTCTGCAGAAGGAAGAACAAAACCCCCTGCCCTCATGGGGTTTGCAAAACACATCTGCATCTTGATAAAAGAGATCGCGCACCTCAGCCGGCTATGAGTAGTTTCTTGATCCTTTTGCTCTGTGCAGAGCCCCTGAACTTTGATCCAAGACTGTTTGAAACTTCATGCTTTTAGGTCTTCATTAAGCAGAAATTTAATTTCAGGTCTGAGTTGCCCTCTACAAAGTTGAGTTAAAGGCTTTGACCCATCAGCGTTAACCTAGTTCAATACAGTACTTTGGAAGAGAATTTCCCTTTTTTTTTTTTTTTTTTGTAAGCACTTATCCTGGGTGTGGGGGAGGTTGGAAGATATTGTGTACTTAGATAATCTGCTCATTGTCCTTTTAATATAAGAATGAGAAAGAAGATAAGCTTGACTCATAATGCTTTTATCAAGATATACAGGGTTTTATTTTTTTAAGCGTTTTAGTGCTTCCAGAATTTGATTGGCCTCCAGTAGATTAACTTTCTTCCTATACAATAGTAAGAGTATTTTCTATCCATTTGGCAGTGATTGAATCTAAGACCCCTGCTGCGTTTACTGCATTCTTCCAACTTATTGGATAACTAGATGCTGGGAGATAACATTCCTAAAATTCGGGGTGGGGGTGGGGTGGAGGGCTAGGAGGACTAGTTGCTCCGTAATCCCTCTGAACTTTGCTTTTTTCCTTTCGGGTTAATTTAAGCATACCCAGCAATTGTTCCCAACAGGGTCCTCTTACCTCCTGACAAATACGGTTTCAGTATTTGCCAATGGTGGTGTGGATGTAGAAGTCCTTTTTACTGCGTAAGCAAACAGCCGCTGCAGTTTTAAGACTCCAGCAGCGGGGTGTCTTCTGGTGTGGCGGGGAGGCTGCAGCGCAGGCGAGCTTGTGTATACAGCACAGGCAGCCGGTTTGCAGGCTGTAAATCACTCTGCGGACCGGGGGATCCTTGTAGGGCCAGGAGCTTAACCTTTTTTGTGCCGTAGATCCCTTCTCAGCGTAAATGCTGAAAGTCCATAGAAGACCAAGGGAACACGTGACGCTAGTTCTCCAGAATGTAGACTACTGTCATACGTAGGTGGCCTTCTACACCCACAGGGTGTACATCTGTGAGTTCAGCCAACCGTGGATCAGAAACGCGCAGGAAAATAGTGCGTCTGTACCTACCTGTCTGTATAGATTGGCTTCTTTCTCTTACTTACTGCCTAAACAGTATACTAATGTAACATCGCATTTACGTTGTATTGGACATTATACGTCATTGGCTTGATTTAAAGACTATGGGATAGGAGCTGGGGATTTAGCTCAGCGGCACGGCGCCTGCCTGGCAAGCACAAGGTCGTGAGTTCGATTCCCGGTACCGGAAACCCCCCCCCAAACAAACCAAAACAAAACAAAACAAAAAAATAAAGAATATAAGATATGCAAGTAGAATGCAAATCCCATGTATTTATTGAGATAAGGTCTAGCCCAGGTTGGCTTCAAATTTTTGATCCCCCTGCCTCAATCTCCTGAGTAAATCCTGTACCATTTTATGTAAAGGATTTTGATCATCCTTGGATGTACAGAGTTAATCTCAGGGATCCTGGAAATGAGTCGCTCACAGGCTATAATAGCATGTGTTACTTTGTGAATAAAAATTAAGTAGAAGAACTAGCAGTCTAAGCTGGGCTTGGTGGCACACGCCGGTAATCCCAGCACTCAGTAGGCTGAGGCAGGAGGATTGCTGCAAGTTCAAAACCAGCCTTGGCTACAAAGTGAGCTCAAGGCCAACCTGAATTGCGTAGCGAGACCCTGTCTCAAAAAGTCAAAAACAAAAAACTAGCGTCCTCACAGGCAGTCACCAGGATTTTAAAAGTCAGTGTGACAACCTTAACACCGTATGAAAATAGTTGTAGCTTCTGTTCGCCACAGCTAAGTCACAGGTTCTGCTCATATCACTTTGGTATATTCCTTTAAGTGCTTTTTTGTTTTTTATTTTGTTTTTGTTTTTTGAGACAGAGTTTGTGATAACGCAGTTCAAGCAATCCTCCTGCCTCAGTCACCTGAGTGCCACAGTGCCTGGCTCCTTCCATGCCTAATTGGAGAAATGTTCATTTTTAGTTCATGTGACTGATGAAGTACATTTGGTGTTCTTCATTTCAGGGATCCCAGCTCAGGAAAACTTGCTTTAGGATCTGGGATGTAGCTCAGTGGTAGAGACCCTAGAGACCACGCTTGCTATGTGAAAGGCTCTGGGTTCAGTCCGCAGCACCATGTAAAACAAGTGAAAAGCCTGCATGCACGGAATGCGAGGGTAATGCCCTAAAAGGATGGAAATTGTAGCCCATAGAGGAACTACAATCTAAGCATATAAACACATGCATTTGTGCTACTGAAATTTCAGAGAAAAGGAGCAATTGGAGGAAATATGAAAAATATCTACAAATGGTTGAAATGGAAACTGTAAAAGCTGCTCTAGAAAAAAGAGTTTTAAATGAGGCCTCGTTTTATTGTCTTTGTTTGTTTTTGGGGGTTTTTTGTTGTTGTTGTTGTTGTTTTCCAGTACTGGGAATTGAACTCACAACCTGCACTTGCCAGGCAGGCACTGTGCCGCTGAGCTAAATCCCCAGCTCGTTTTATTGTCCTTAATAATATTTAAGAAATCTGGCCAGGCATCGTGGCAAACACCCGTGTGATCCCTGTAATCCTTGCACTCAGGAGGCTGAGGCAGGAGGATCATTTCAAGTTTGCGACCATCCTAGGCTACAAAATGAGCTCAAGGCCAGCCTGAACTGCATAGGGAGACCCTGTCTCAAAAGACAGACACACACACACAAGTACCAAAAAAAGAATTCTGCAGTGGCTCTTGATTCTTAGTAGCCATGTCACTTCTAGCAATTTAAGTATTTCTGAGCCTCAATTTCCACATTTGAAAAATGGGAATGAAATGCTACAAAGATAAATGAGTTTAGGAATAAAGCTCTGGTGTGTGATTCTGTTCTTGTTTGAAAGGGTGGTCATAGTTTGCTTCTGCCCTTTGTATACCTAAGTGGTCTGTGGTTCACTATGAAGTGATTTTTGTATAGAGTGTAGCATAGGGGCTCTCATTTCATAGTTTTCTAATACTTTCACTGCATGCTTTCATCAGCACCATTTGTTGAAGAAGCTGTCTTTTTTCTAATTTATGTTTTTGGTCCCTTTGTCAAGAATCAGATGACTGTAGTTGTGTTTCTGTGTCTTTCTCTGACAGTGTCCTGCTGTCTCTGGAAACTTAGCTTTGTCATGTGCTTTGATTCTTTTTTTTAATTTTATTTTATTTATTTATTTTTTTTTTTTTTGGTACCGGGAATCGAACTCAGGACCTTGCGCCTGCCAGGCAGGCGCTTGTGCCGCTGAGCTATATCCCCGGCCCTGTCATGTGCTTTGAAATCTGGGATGAAGAAGCCACTACTAGCCTTGCTCTTCTTGCTCAGGATTGCATTGACTGTTCTGGATCACTTGTGTTTTCATATACGTTTTATTGTTTCTTCTAGTTGTGTGAAAAAATGTCATTGGAATTTTGATGGGGATTGCATTGAATCTGTACATAGCTTCGCATAGCATGGGAGAGCTTTCCAGCCCTACTTTCTTGAGCATTCTGGAATCTTCATTGTAAGGGTCTTTTGCATCATGCATTAGATTGATATCTAGGTTTTGGGTTTTTGTTTTGTTTTGAGACCACTGTGTGGCCCAGGCTGGCCTTGAACTCCCGGCCATCATCCTGCCTCAGCCTCCTGGGTGCTGGGATTATAGGTGTGTGCCACCACACCCAGCCTGTTATCAATATTTTAAGTAAATTTAGTGCTACCATCATAATTGTTGGTGCCTTTAAACTTTTATCATCCTCCCTTCTAGTGGGTACTCATTAAATTGAGTAATTTCCTGCAGTTTTACTCCAGCAGCTGTGATCTGAGTAAGTTCCAATGTCCTCATTGCTTTAGATCTGTTCGTCTCTCTGTAAGCCAGCTCAGAGAGGTGCTGAGGGTCAGGACTGGGTTTATTTTAAATTACATGCAATGCCAGGCATGGTGGTGCATGCCTGTAATCCCAGCACTCGGGAGGCTGGGCAGGAGGATCATTGCATGTCTGGGACCAGCCTGGGCTACAAAGTGAGCTCAAGGCCAGCCTGAACTGCATAACGAGACTCTGTCCCAAAAAGACAATAGATGATTGATTGATTGATTGATTGATTGATAGATAGATAGATAATTAGATACACTGCATGCATTTCTGGCCGGGGATAATATAGCTCAGTGGCACAAGTGCCTACCTGGCAAGCGCAAGGTCCTGAGTTCAATTCCTGGTATACCCCCCCAAACAAAAGATAGATACATAGATAGATAGATAGATAGATAGATAGATAGATAGAGTGCATTTCCTAGGGCTGCCTTACAAACTGGATGAGTTGGAACCGCAGAAATCTATTCCCTTACAGGTGCAGCAGCCCAATGTCTGCACTGAGGTGGCAGCAGGACCGGTTCTTTCTAGAGGCTCTGAGGGATCTGGTGCCTTCCGTTGGCTTCCTTTCCCTTCCCTCCCCTGTCTCCTCTGATGATGCCGAGCATTGGGGTTGGGACTTGATCCAGTTCTATTTGCAGATGCCTGACCCAAATCAAGTCGCAGGCAGGTGTGGAAACTGGTGAGGACTTGGCCTTGTCCGTTCAGGGGACACAGATCCACCTACCACACGAGTGTCCCTTCACTCATTCAGAGTCTGGGTGCTTTTCTCCCCTTCCACACTCTGCTGCCGAAGGGGGCGGAATCCTCAGCTTTTCCTCTCCTTTTGCAGGTGTGCCAATGACCCACCCCGGGAACTGCGAGGAAGGGAGCGGAGACAAAAGCGCGGGAAAGCGGCCCCGGCGAGAGGAGACCCACGTGTGCGACAAGTGCTGTGCCGAGTTCTTCATTCTCTCTGAGTTCCTGGAACACAAGAAAAATTGCACTAAAATTCCACCCGTCCTCATCATGAACGACAGTGAGGGGCCGCTACCTCCTGAGGACTTCTCCCGAGCCATGCTGAGCCACCAGCCCCTGAGCCCGGGCAGCAGGGACGGGCCCAGAGAGCGGAGCGGAGGCTCAGGGGATGCCAAGGAGAGGCCGGGCGCGGAGTCGGTCCTGTACCTGAAGACGGAGACTGCTCTGCCCCCCGTCCCACAGGACATAAGCTATCTACCCAAAGGCAAAATGACCAACACTAACGTGACTCTGCAGGCGCTCCGGGGCACCAAGGTGGCGGTGAACCAGCGCAGCGCAGACGCGCCCCCCGTGCCCGTGCCCGGCGCCAACAGCATCCCGTGGGTGCTGGAGCAGATCCTGTGTCTGCAGCAGCAGCAGCTGCAGCAGATCCAGCTCACGGAGCAGATCCGCATCCAGGTGAACATGTGGGCCGCGCACGCCCTGCACTCGGGCGTGGCTGGTGCCGACACCCTGAAGACCCTGGGCAGCCACGTGTCCCAGCAAGTGTCCGCCGCTGTGGCCCTGCTCAGCCAGAAGGCCGGAAGCCAGGGTCTGTCTCTGGACGCCTTGAAACAAGCCAAGCTACCTCACGCCAACATCCCTCCCACCCACGGCTCCCTGTCCCCGGGGCTGGCGCCCTTTGCCCTGAAGCCGGATGGGACCCGGGTGCTCCCGAATGTCATGTCTCGCCTTCCGGGTGCTTTGCTACCTCAGGCCCCGGGCTCTGTGGTCTTCCAGAGCCCTTTCTCCACTGTGGCGCTAGACCCATCCAAGAAAGGGAAGGGGAAGCCGCCCAACATCTCCGCGGTGGATGTCAAACCCAAAGATGAGGCGGCCCTCTACAAGCACAAGTGTAAGTACTGTAGCAAGGTTTTCGGGACTGATAGCTCCTTGCAGATCCACCTCCGCTCCCACACTGGAGAGAGACCCTTCGTGTGCTCTGTCTGTGGTCATCGCTTCACCACCAAGGGCAACCTCAAGGTGCACTTTCACCGCCACCCCCAGGTCAAGGCAAACCCCCAGCTGTTTGCTGAGTTCCAGGACAAAGTGGTGGCAGGCAGTGGCGTCCCCTGCACACTCTCTGTCCCTGTCCCTGTCCCTGTCGTAGATGAGTCGAGTCTCTCTTTAGACAGCAAACCTGTCCTGGTAACGGCGACCCCTCCCGTAGGGCTACCTCAGCATATCCCCTCAGGGCCCAACCCCAAGGACCTGCTGGGTGGCCCGCCTCTGCCCAGCGATCTGCAGCCCGGGCCCTCCCCAGAAAGGGAGGGGGGACCTACGCCACCCGGGCTGGGGCCCACCCAGCATCCCCCGAGGGTTGGTGGCTTCCAGGGAAGTGGGCCCCCCGAGCCCGGGTCGGAGACCCTGAAATTGCAGCAGCTGGTAGAGAACATCGACAGGGCCCCCACCGACCCCAATGAATGTGTCATTTGCCACCGAGTCTTAAGCTGCCAAAGCTCCCTTAAGATGCATTACCGCACGCACACCGGGGAGAGGCCCTTCCCCTGTAAGGTCTGTGGCCGAGCTTTTTCCACCAAAGGCAACCTGAAGACGCACCTCGGGGTGCACCGAACCAGCACGTCCGTGAAGACGCAGCATTCGTGCCCCATCTGCGAGAAGAAGTTCACCAACGCAGTCATGCTGCAGCAGCATATTCGCATGCACATGGGTGGCCAGATCCCCAACACGCCCCTGCTGGAGAGTCCCTGTGACTTCGCGGGTCCAGAGCCCGCCCCGGTGGGTGAGAGCAGCGGCGCCGGCGCCGTCTGCCATGACGATGTCGAAAGCATCGACGTCGATGAGATCGGCTCCTCGAAGGTGCTCATGCCACTTCCCGGCACCCACATGGCGTCGCCCACTCTGGGGTACTCAGTGGTGGCTTCCCAGGAGGCCCTGGGGAAGGCGGGTCCCGCCCCGCTGGGCCTGCAGCGCCAGAGCAGCCGAGAGAACGGCTCTGGGGAGAGCGACGGGCTGACCAACGACGACTCCTCCCTCATGGGCGACCAGGAGTGCCCGAGCCGAAGCCCGGACGCCATGGAAACCATGTCCTTCCAGGCCCTGTCCCCAGCCAATAGCCAGGCGGAAAGCATCAAGTCACGGTCCCCCGATACCGGGGTCAAAGCCGAGAGCTCCGAGAACAGCCGCCCTGATACGGAAGGTGATAGAGCTTTGGATTTAACTTATGTCCGTTGTGGGCGCAAGGTCATCAGAAAAAAAGGAACCTGGGTGGCACCTGACAAACGGAGTTTCTGAAGCAGCTCCTCCGTAGGGCATTTGGCTTCTCTGTACTGCGGGGTAGAGGGACATAATAACTACCTCTATCCCAGCATGAGTAGTTTAGCATGGTTTGGGTGAATTAGGTGTGGACAGAATGTTTACTGGTTTTTATTTTTGTCCTTGACCCCACGGGGGCAGAGGGGTGACTGTAATTGTAAGGAAGTCCCAGTAGTGTGTTTGGGGGAGGTGAGCGCTGCTCTTCAGAAACTCAAATGAGCTGTAGTTCTTTGATTCTGGGGTTCCACTCCCTGGCTGAATGTTCGCAAATTAATCGCTTTCCAAGGGGGAAAACAGACAACCTGTTTTAAATGCACATAGCAATTGTGGGCCCCTATTTATGTGCTTAATCGTAAAATAGGGTGTGAGCTGTATCAGAGAATCAGGAGTGTCCGGGCATACTTTAAAGGTAGCTTTTGGTGCAGAAATTTGAACTTCACTTGCATGTTTTCCTGTGTTGCCTGTACCTTTATACAGACCAACACGGTCAATTTTTCCTTAGTGTAGAGTCTATTTTATTCTTGATGCAAATAAGCCTTTCAGGGCTGGGGATTTAGCTCAGCGGCACAGCGCCTGCCCGGCAAGTGCAAGGTCGTGAGTTTGATTCCCGGTACCGGAAAAAAAAGCAAATAAGCCTTTCAAAGGGAAGCTGCTTTTGAGGTAGAAGTTTCCTGTAAATGTTCTCCACTGGTTTACTGGGCAGTGGTTCTGCAAGGTTTCTTTTGTGCCGAGGCGTGAACGGGTGCTGGATGGTAAAGGTGTGGATTTCTCTCCCCTTCTGCAATCCAGGTCGAAGCAGTCTCCCGCCAGCGTTCATCCGCACCCAGCCCACCTATGTCAAAGTTGAAGTTCCCGGCATGTTTGTCGGCCCCTCGGCCATGTCCCCGGGCATGACGCCTCTGTTGGCCGCCCAGCCCCGCCGGCAAGCCAAGCAACACGCCTGCACCCGGTGCGGGAAGAACTTCTCCTCGGCCAGTGCCCTGCAGATCCACGAACGGACGCACACCGGAGAGAAGCCTTTCGTGTGCAACGTGTGCGGGCGAGCGTTTACCACCAAAGGCAACCTGAAGGTGGGTGTGCCACGCTTTCAGGAAGGTTGGCTGGGGGTAGAGTGGCATCCCTGTGTTGGCATACTCCGTGATTTTCCGTTGAAGACCAAATGGGTTGGGGCAGCTCGGGCAGTGGTGGAGCACTTGGCCTGGCATGTGTGAGGTCGTGGGTTTGATCCCCAGTGCTCAACAAAGAAGGAAAGGGCTGGGCATAGTGGTGCATGCCTGAAATCCCAGCACTCAGGAGGCTGAGGCAGGAGGATTGCCACAAGTTCAAGGCCAGCTTGAACTGCATAGCAAAACCCTGTCTCAAAATAATCAAAAAACCAGGACGGGAGAATGGGGCCAAATGAGATTTAATATAATTGCACCTCTGAAAAAATTTTCAGAAGTCTGTTTTCTCACCTGACAATACCTCAAAGTGGGATGTTCTTGAATTTCATGGGATAAGAGCGTTGTCTGTTGTTGGTTAATGGCTTTGCCTAACCTTGAGGTCACATAAAATAATGACGCCATCTATTCTACAAGTGATGCCACCCGGAAGTGGAGTGTGGTTTGCTTCAGGTTTCTTTCTCAATCCAGGATGGGTAGTTTTCCCTCTAGATAGAGACCCTGATTTCTTTAAACCATAGTTAAGTAAGGCCCAAGGATGTAGCTCAGTGGTAGAGAACCTGATTACCATGAGCAGGACTCTGGGTTCGATTTTCGGTGCCATGCAGAAGAACAAAACACCAAAACTGAATAGATACATGAAATAAGACCTGGAAAAATACAGGGTGTTTGTTCTATATTGTAGGGTAGAACGTATCACGAATGGACTTGTTGAGCCTTCCAGACCTGATGAGAAGTTTCCTCTGGTTTTTGTTGCCTGGGCTGCTAAGTTGAAATAGATACCATGAGGGCTGGGGACATAGCTCAGCGGCACAAGTGCCTGCCTGGCAAGCACAAGGTCCTGAGTCTGATTCCCGGTATCAAAAAGAGAAATAGATACCATGAGTTAAATATGTGTATAATAGAGAGATATGCTGGGTGTGGTGGCACACGCCTGTAATCCCAGCACTTGGGAGGCTGAGGCAGGAGGAGCCTTGTAACGAGCGTGGGCTACAAAGTGAGTTCAAGACCAACCTGAACTGCACAGGGAGACACTGTTTCAAAAAGAAAAAAAAGAGAGGGATGCATATAGTACCACTAGAGGTTGTTTCATTTGAGACAGGTCTTAGTGTCTAACAGTGGTCTGAAACTCCTGGTAATTTCTTATGTCAGCCACCACACCAGCTGGGTTTGACCACTTTGGTTTAAGACATAGAGTAGCCTCTAGGTTATGGTTGTTCAGCCAGGCCTTCCACGGGGCAATTCATGGAGTAGTTACTGTAAGACAGTGGATTTCACCAAGGAAGGGTTACCCGCATAGGGTGAAAAGCAGCCGGTGCAGCCTTTTGACTTGGGTTCTCTGATACTGCAGATTGAACACGGGACCTTGTGAGTACTGAATGCTAGGCAAGCGCTCTTCTAATAGTTTCTGTGCCTCATCAAGTTGAGGCTGTGTGGGTTTGTGTCTTTCGCGGGCTTGATTGGACACAAGAAGCTTCGCACAGCTGCTTGCTGTGGCTTAGGCTCCCTTTCTGTGTTGCTCTGGGGTGAAGTACATTGTATCGGCGAGGTGTCTCAGGTGGTAGGGCACAGTCAAGGGCTCCTCCCTGCTGCCTTGCTAGTTATACTTTAGCAGCTGCTGAGGACTCAGTGAGTCACTGCTGTTGGGATAACTGCGAACTTCTGAGGATGACAGGAAAGGTGAACCAGCAGTGCCTGACTTGAGCTGGTACCTAGCACAAGGGGTTTTTAAACTCAGAAAGAAGCTGAAAAAGGGTAATGACGCAACACAGCCAGGTTGAAGAAGTAATGGGTTAGCCAGGTCTCTTCATCCGCGGAGATTAATTAGCTTAGATTAAATTGTATCCACTTCCCTCTGAGGCTTTCCCAACTCCCTAGTGATGATTGCTGGGCTTGCTTGCTTGTTTTTTTTAGTTTACACTTTACAGAGCTGGAGATAGGACCCAGGACCTTGCGCAGGCTCTGTGTTCTGCCACTGAGCTACGCCAACTAGGTGTTGCTGGTGTCACCTGTATGACAGCAGATTTTGTTTTTAAAAAAATGACTTCCAAGTGAATTTTTTTAATCCAAGTAATTATAGGTTCACACATGGCAAGGAGAATAGAGATATCCTGGGATATTTCACCTAGTTTGTCACTTTGTTTTTGTTTGTCTTTTTGAGACAGGGTCTCCCTATGCAGTTCAGGCTGGGCTTGAGCTCCCTTTGTAGCCCAGGCTGGTCTTGAACTCACAACGATCCTCCTGCATCAGCCCCCCAAGTGCTGGGATTATGGGCATTACAGGCGTGCGCCACCACGCCCGGCCTTACAGTTTGTCATTTTGCAGTAGTAGTTGAGTAGCACACTCAGAATTTGGACATTGGCACAATCTTGTTCCGAGTTCCCCATTGTGCTTATACTGTGTTGTGTGTTAAACTCTACCTGTTTCATTACTTGAAGAGGTTTGTGTACATATACATACTGGTTTGTTGCTGTGGGGATTTTTTGTTGTTTTTGTTTGTTTGAGACAGGGTCTCGCTATGTAGTTCAGGCTGGCATTGAACACATGGTGATCCTCCTGCCTCAGCCTCCTGAGTGCTAGGATTATAGGCGTGCGCCGCCATGCCCGGCAGTGTGCACCTGTACATGTTAGAACAATGCCTGGCACGTAGCAGATGTTTACATAGACGTGCACATATTGCCAGATCCTCTAGTATTTTTCCTCCCCTCCACAAGACCAAATACCTGAATTTTTTTAAATTTTTATTTATTTATTTATTTTTTACATAATCTTAATTTCTAAAAACAAAAGTATGGTAAGCCCCTTTATGGGTGGGACCACCCTGGTCTGCAGATTTGGGCTTGCCAAGAATCAGTGGACTCTCCACCTGATCCAAATCTCTCTGTCCTGCCCTGCCCTGTCCTGTCCTGTCCTGTCCTGGCAGGTCCACTACATGACCCACGGGGCCAACAATAACTCAGCTCGCCGTGGGAGGAAGCTCGCCATAGAGAACACCATGGCTCTGCTGGGTACCGATGGGAAGCGCGCGCCGGAAATGTTTCCCAAGGAGCTCCTGTCGCCCTCGGTGGGTGTGGACCCGGTGGTGTGGAACCAGTACACCAGCATGCTCAACGGCGGCCTGGCCATGAAGACCAATGAGATCTCGGTGATCCAGAGCGGAGGGATCCCCACCCTTCCTGTGTCCCTGGGGGCCAGCTCCGTGGGCAGCAACGCCACCGCCTCCAAGATGGACAGCTCCCAGTCTGGCGGCAGTGCCGACGCAGAAAAATCAGGCGTTCCTGACGGCGTAGCCAAACACCAGTTCCCTCACTTCCTGGAAGAGAACAAGATCGCAGTCAGCTAAGCTCGCGGAGCAGTCTGGCGAAAAGAGGGTGCGGATGGGAACGCAGAGGGACGCAGATCCCCTGCGTCCTTTTTTCTTACTGATATGCAAATGATGTTTACGGTGGTGACCCAACCTGGGCTGTTCTACAATCACAATTGTTACTATGCTGCTTTGCAAAAAAAAAGAAAAAGAAAACAATTTTTTTAAAAAACCAAAATTCATACCAAAACAGACTAGATTTTTTTTTTTTTTTTTTTGATTTTGGAAAGAAGCGGGTCTTGCAAAGTAGCTTTTTTACTTGCAGCAAACTATACACCTAGAAGCTTTGTCCAGCGTAGAGGGACTGTTTCCAAAGGCTGTCCCCGGCGTCCAGGTGCGCCAGTTGGAATTTACCCAACCACAGTGGGAAAGAGAATTAGGTAGCCTAACTGTGGGGGTGAGGTACTGGACACTTCCATGCCAACTCTATGCGGGTAAATGGACAAAGGTCTGTCACCTCTTTAGGGGCCAATTTGATATGGCTCCCCAAGCCTTTACCGTCTCGTTTTTGTTTTGTTGAATGTACTTAAAAGGAAAAAAAAGTAACCAAGGTTGAAGAGTTAACAAAATTACTTCCGCCTTAGGACCATAAGTAGATGCCTTGGCGTGGCCGTGCTTTAGTCCTTAGGGAGCCGGTGTGTGTGTTGCTGCTTATTTAAATACAGTCCAGCCAGGCGTGGTGCCACACGCCTGTCATCCCAGCACTCGGGAGGCTGAGGCAGGAGGATCCTTGCGAGTTTGAGACTAGCCTGGGCTACAAAGTGAGCTCAAGGCCAGCCTGAGCTGCGTATCGAGACCCTGTCTCGGAAAGACCAATATATATATATACAGTCCATCTGGAACCCCCAGAGTGCGGACTGCTCACACTTTGCAATGCCTCATCTTCCCAGCACCAGGAGAGCTGGGCCCTGAGCCAGAATTCTCAGGTGACTCAGGTTTTGCCAGTGCCTGCTCTGTTTTGAAGAACTATGTTTTCATTCTTGAAACTCACGGAAGATTGAACCTTCGTATCACAAGTTCACCTTTTTTTAAATTTCCTTGGTGCAACTTAAGCCGAGTAATAATGAAGATGCCCCCCCTCCCCTTGCGTACTGCATGAAGGCTATGAAGTTGGAACAGGCAAGTCCTGGGTGTGAAAGCTTTAATTTATCTACCTCATTTTTTATTTTTGTAGCCATAGTCTCTATTTTCCTATTTTATGACCGCTGAAGTATTCCAGGCTCCATCTTAAACCTAAGAGTTGATATATTGATGGGAACAGTTGGATGTTCAAGATGTCTTCGATTCCTTTTTTTTAAATCCCCCTCTGTACAGGTAATAATATTGAGCAGTTGATGAAACGTTGCTCTAGCTGTTTAATGAGGAAGGAGAAAAAAAAAAAAATCAGACAGCTGGGTGGAGGAGTCCTTCCCGCTGTGGAAGCCCCTTGTCAAAATGTGGATCGGGACTGTTACCCCAAGTTCTGTCTCTTAGTTATTGCACCTGACTTTAGGATCCAAAAAAGTGTTTTTGCCAAGTTGTGCCTTCCCTTCTGGAACTGTAAGAGAACACAATAAGAATAGAACCTGTTTACACTGTGAAGTGCATATTGTTACGAGAACACCCCAGTGGCTTTCTCACTGTTGAGCTAAGAATGCCTTGTGAATGTATGATCTACGGAGAGCCCCTGTAGTTATACCTGCTGATGCCGTCTGTCTGTTGGAAAATAAATTTTGAATGTTTTTTCCCCCTACCAAGTGTGTGTGTGTGTGTGTGTTTTTCAGGTTCTTCCTTCTTTTTTTTTTTTCCCCCGGTACCGGGGATCAAACTCACAACCTTGCGCTTGCCAGGCAGGCGCTGTGCCACTGAGCTAAATCCCCAGTCCCTGGGTTCTTTCTTCTTTGGACCTGAGGATCTTGGCTTGGCCAATATTTTCAGTGGCCTGGGAACCCTCTTCACAAATCAGTGGGGAGAAGCCAGCATCAGACCCTGTGACACTGCACATGCTTTAATTGTCTTTCCTGGAGACAACTGTTACATCCATGCTAAACTTTTGTTAAAATGGCCTCATCATAGAAAACTTTGTTTTTAAATTCTGAGGCAGGTCTTTCTCTGTAGTCTCCACTGTCCTCAAATTTGTAATACTCCTGCCTCAGCCTCCTGAGAATGGGGATTACAGGAGTGTACCCCCGTACTTGCCTCTTTACTTGGGACCACAGAGGGCTTCTCATGCTGCGGATTACTCCCTGCTTCATCCCGTCCTAATCTGGTCCATACAGAAGTAATGTTTACTTCTTAGGCTGCTCAGGGGATCGTTGGGCCTGGCAAGGTGATGCATGCTCGTTAATCTTAACACCCTGAGACTGAGGCAGGAGGCTTACACTTTTCAAACCCAGCCTGGGCAATTCGCTGATAACCTGTCAGTAAGTGAAGAGGGCACATTGCAAAGGGCACAGTGTAGCACATTGCCAAGGTCCTAGCTTAATCTCCAATACATTTTTAAATAAAAGGAATAGCTGATTTATTATAGTGGTGTGTGTGTGTGATGTTTGGAATTGAATCAAAGATTTCACACATGCTAGGCAAGTGCCGCAGAACTGAGCTACATCCCCAGCAGTTTTGCTGAACTGGCCTTGAATTGGGGGGTGGTACCAGGAATTAAACTCAGGACCGTACCCTTGCCAGGCAGGTGCTGTGCCACTGAGCTAAATCTCTAGCCTGGCCTTTATAATTTATGACATCCTCCTGCCTCAGCCTTCTGAATAACTGGGATGACAGGAATGAGCCATCATTCCTCCCTGTGTTTTTTGTTTTATTCCTCCCTGTGTTAAGTGTTTGTTGCTGTACTTGAAACCAAAGTCCAGAGCCTTTTTTATTTTGACATAGGGTCTAAGTCACTAAGTTGACCAAACTGTTGTGCAATTTGGAATTCTCTACTGCTTTCCTGAGTGCTGGGATTGTAGGCATGCACCAGTGTTTTGCTAACATAAGATTATCAACCTGGAGAAAAGTGATTGGGCAGAGGTACCCAGGTAACAGCCGGTTGGTTTAATTGGTGAATGACCCTCATACCTACCTGTTGCTCCATCTTTATAGATCACTGGGGAGAAGCCAGCATCAGGCCCTATGAGATGTCTTTGCATGCTTTAGCTACCTTTCCAAGTAAAATACGTGGCAGTGGGCTGGGGGTGTAGCTCAGTGGTAAGAGCACTTGCCTGGCGTGCATGAGGCCCTGGCTTCATCCCTAGCATTACAACATGCACCCCTCCACCCCCACAAAAGAAAGCAAGCAAAGAGAGCTACTGTGGACCTCTTTCACAGGAAACTGCCTGCTTGCATTTTTGTAAGCCTATCCAAAGCTCCGCTTTTGATACTTAATGTGTGATTGGAGGTATTCCACAAAGACAGTTGCACAGATTTTTCCCTTTCACACTGATTGTTCGTAAATTCTTCAAAGTTGGTTCTTTGAAATATTAA